AATACCCACTTCGTCAGACGCATGACAGACGTCTGACGAAGTGGGTATTCACCCACGAAAGCTTATGCTCCAATACGTCTGTTAGTCTATAAGGTGCCATAGGATTCTTTGTCGCTCAGCACAGAAACGAAACATGGTTACAGCCAAAATACTTTCTCTTGGTGGTTAATCAAGAAAAGGGATCCAGGGGAAGAGAAAATTCGCAGAACTCTATGCATACCGCACTGGCTTCCATGGTGGTTCCACCACTTTCATCGTCTTCTTGTGGCTGTTGGCATCTGCCTCCTCCCAGTGACCCACCTCTCTCCATTTTACCCTTCTCTGGTGGCTCAGCAGGAAACCAAAGCTATGGTTAGAAGCAAGAGTCGTTTAGGCTGGAACATGCAGAGAAACACTTCTTAATGGTGAGATCCATTAGGCTATGAAATAGGTTCCTAAGGGAAGGGGTGAAAACTTTAATACGGGGCAAACTGGTTGAAACTATAGTAAAGAACAAAATTGTCAGACACATAGATGAACACAATTTGTTGGGGAAGAGGTAACATGGTTTTTGGAAAGGGAAATCATGCCTCACCAATCTACTAGAATTCTTTGAGGGGGGTCAACAAGCATGTGGACAAGGGGAATCCAGTGGATACAGTGTGTTTAGATTTTCAGAAAGCATTTGACAAGATCCCTCACCAAAGGCTCTTAAGCAAAATAAGCTGTGATGGGATAAGAGGGAAGGTCCTCTCATCGATTAGTAACTGGTTAAAAGATAGGAAACAAAGAGTAGGAATAAATGGTCAGTTTTCAGCATGGAGAGAGGTAGATAGTGGTGCCCCCCCCCCAGGGGTCTGTACTGGGCTCAGTCCTATTCAACATAGTCATAAATGATCTGGAAAATGGGGTAAACAGGGAGGTGGCAAAATTTGCAGATGATACAAAACTGTTCACGATAGTTAAGTTCCAGGCAGACTGCAAAGAGCTACAAAAGGATCTCTCAAAAGTGGGTTACTGGGCAACAAAATGGCAGATGAAATTCAATGTTGATAAATGCAAAGTAATTCACATTGGAAAACATAATCCCAACTATACATATAAAATGACAGGGTCTAAATGAGCAGTTACCACTCAAGAGATCTTGGAGTCATTGTGGATAGTTCTCTAAAAACATCCACTCGATGCGCAGCGGCATTCAAAAAAGTAAACAGAATGTTGGGAATCATTAAGAGAGGGATAGATAATAAGACAGAAAATACCATATTGCCTCTATATAAATCCATGGTACGCCCACATCTTGAATACTGCATGCAGATGTGGTTGCCACATCTCAAAAAAGATATATTGGAATTGGAAAAGATTCAGAAAAGGGCAACAAAAATGATTAAGGGTATAGAACGGCTGCCATATGAGGAGAGATTAATAAGATGGGGACTTTTCAGCTTGGAAAAAAGATGACTAAGGGGGGATATGATAGAGGTCTATAAAATCATGACTGTGTGGAGACAGTAAATAAGGAAGTGTTATTTACTCCTTCTCATAACACAAGAACTAGGGGCCACCAAATATAATTAATAAGCAGCAGGTTTAAAACAAACAAAAGGAAGTATATTTTCACACAATGCACAGTCAACCTATGGAACTCCTTGCCAGAGGATATTGTGAAGGCCAAGACTATAACAGGGTTCAAAAAAGAACTAGATAAATTCATGGAGGATAGGTCCATCAAGGGCTATTAGCCAGGATGGGCAGGCATGGTTCCCTAGTCTCTGTTCATTCCCTCTGGGGCACCTGGCATTGGCCACTGTCGGAAGACAGGATACTGGGCTGGATGAACCTTTGGTCTGACCCAGTATGGCCATTCTTATGTTCCTTTCTTGGGATATGTGAAACTAGACTGGGGGAAGCCCTGGAGATTAGACTGTAAGGAACAATCCTGCAAAAGCCCCTGGGAATGAATAAAAATATATTTAATAGACCTTTTGTAACTCAGACATCTATATTATCTGACCACATTTTACAAGCACATTAGTGGGATATTTCTCTTCAATGATTAGCAGTGAGCTAGTTAACATACTCATCTGAAATTTAACAGCCCATCAAAATTTAATAGGGCAATTTCCAGCTCTCATAAGGTAGAGCTGGTTAGACAGGCTTGGCTAGAGGGTCCTATAGCAAACCCCCCCGCTCCCCCAAAAAACCCCAAAAGAACAGTGCTGATCTAGATACAGCCTAGAATACATACTAGCAAGAACCAAACAGTGTTAGCTGCTACAGTCACCTAGTATTAGCCATATTGTGTTGAAGACATAAATCATGTAAGCCAAACAAGTTACTAAACTGGTTACAAACTCAAAAACTGTAATGTACACAGAGCCTTAGGCAGCCTAAAACAATAGCTCTGACTATATATTTAGGAATATATACAACACAGCAATAGGTCACATATGGAAGTTTTTATTTGAAACAAAAAAGTCAAATTCTGAAGAAACTGATGGGGCTACCACAGCATGCCAGATGGATTTATGGCCTGACACAGCTCACAGTCCTGCCAAGGAAAGGAGAACTTAATGCCCTGAGATAAGACCCCTCGTCATTACATTGTTTAATTACATAAGGCTTCTAGAAAGCTTGAGATAAGAACAGGAATTTGACTGCAGTCCAGCTGGGTGCGGTTGCTTAGATCATACTGTGTGTTAGAATAAGAACTAAAAGCAAGAGTTTATGTGGCATGACTATAGCATAATTGGAGTTGAAATAAGTAAGCTGATACTGATGACTGGATCTGAAAGTAACTATCTTTTTAATAAAGAAACGATAAATTATCACTCTCCTGATGATAGTAATCTTAATACTACCTCGTGTTTCTGTTCAAAGTGCTTTACTACCATTAATTGATCCTCATAACTCCTTTGAAGTTGGTAAGTAAATATCATTATGACCATTTTTCAGATGAAGAAACCCAGGCAGAGAGGTGAAATTACTCACCTAGGAGCAACATGGGGTCTGTTTCACAGCCAAGATTAGCAACCAGGAGTTTCTAGCTCCTAATTCTATGTTCACAAAAGTACAAAAAGTAACATTCCATATTCCTGACTGCTTTCTTACAGATGAAATAGATCACTGGTGACTCTCTCTGGATTCATAAGCACTGTCTCATAGATTAAAGATAGAGAAATAATAAAATGGTCTTGTAATTAAGGTGAGATTGCCACTTCCTCCCAGATGAATTCAGTACCATTCTACTCCAGCAGTAGAACAGGAGACTTGCTTTGATGATCCACTCTGGGATGCTGGTGGATCTTGTTGGATTCCAAAGTTCCCTGGAAGATAAATCCATCCCTACCTAATGATGAGAAAACAGACACAGAGAGAGGTTCACAGCCAGAGCAAATGACAACCAGAAAGAGAACTTCAGTTTTTCTAGACTCCCCAACATTGGCTTGTACCCCCTGCCTATACTGTCTCCCAGAAAAAAACTATTTGTCACCCAAAATCATAGACACTAGAGAAGGAAAAACATCTTTATCTCCCTGTTCAGGACTTTTCCCTACAGCATGTTTTCTAGTCTTTTGCTCAATCTGATTTTAAAAGTCCCAAATGATGGGAGTTTTATTCTTTCCATGGGAGACTATTCCCCAGCCAAATACATTTCATTGTCAAGAAACCTTTACCAATGTTCAGCCTATATTTTCCTTTATTTTATTTTTAGTAATTATTCCCCTTGTGGAGCTGTGATGATTTACACCAGCTGCGGATCTGGCCCAGAACTGGGCTTAAGTGTTTATGCCCTAGCCAATCTTTTATAGACTGTTATGTCTCTTCAGTTATTGGTAACCACACTAGACATATTTATCTTAATCAGTCTTCACAAGTCAACCCCTCTAGTTCTCTGATTGTTGCCATTCTCTGCAGTCTTTCCAGTTTGCCAATATCTTTCTGATAACATGAAGTCCAGAATTCTTTAAATGATTTGCTTCAATCACCTACCTCGATCATTTATTCCATAAACTTGTTTTTCTTGATAAGAAGATGTATGCCTAAATTACCTAGGTACTCCTAGTATGTAGATTATATGACATCCCTTATTAATGTATACATTATACTGATACATTAATGTATACATTATACTGATTTTTCATAATTCCATAATCTCTATTGTATCAACCCAAAGTCCCTTCTTTTCTAAACAGAGTAATCCCAATTCTCTTAATCATTCTGTACAAATCTGTATAATAAATATCCTTTAAGGCTCACATCAAATGGTCACTTTTTTCTTTTGAGATCCCTTGCTCATTGTTCAGTGCTATTTGATAACCTCTGGCTTGGGCTCTGGTGCTCAGGCATGAATTGGGAATGTACTATAGATA